AAAGTCTTAACGGTGTGAGAGATGGCGGATTTTGTCTCAATTTCACAGCCGACGAAGTAATCTATTTAGCTATCCAGGCTTGCAAAGAAACTAATCGCATTTGCAAAGTGTCTAAGATCAGCTTTGCCGTTGGCAGAGCGAAAATTCTTAACACAGAGTCAAGGGAGATAATCCTGTCGTTTACAAGATAAGCACACCTGAATTTTGTAAGAAGGCTATCACGGAGATAAACAAAATGTTTACAATTCAAAAAAAAAAAAAAAAAAAAAAGGAATGAATAGGATATACAATTTAAACAAAAATAAATAGAACAGATATATTTGTGTGTATAGCTTCATCGATCCTGTTATGTTAATCAATCTTCCACAACGTGATCGACAAAGAAATAACGCCATTTTCAAGGATCCGCTTTATTTTTGTTTTAGAAGACAGATCCATTAAAGTCTTCTTATCCCAATTTAGCGGCACCCCATCCCATCCTAAGCTTTCTCGAGTTAATAAAATTATCATGTAAACATTTAAGCTGTGACGGGAACAACAAAACAGGGTTCAACAGGTCGGACCCTAGATTATGACGAACTTTAGCCTTTTGATTTTTCTTCCATATTTCAATATTTAAAATATATTAAAAAATATCTCTTGCCCTGATATTGAAAACCTGTCAACGTGACAATGAAAGAGATAAGAAAATAAGCATTCAAAATACTGGTTTTAAATAAGTTTAATTTTTGAAACCATATACCTTCAGTCAGCCACCCTCAGGGTATTCTACATATCCATTTATAAAATACCTTAGAGTTTTTCATTACCATAACTTCTTGAGAAGGATAATGAAATAGTTTCCCGTTACTTTCTGCAAAGTCAGAAAAATTTCTCGTAGATTGCTTAACAATCAAAGATAACCAGAATAGAAGAAGACTTTGTCTACAATGACTTTTGCTCTAAGATTGAAAATCATGTCAATCTGGGATGAAAGAGATAACAGCCACTAAAATAAGCATTAGAAATACTGAAATCTACCGTGTTATTTAATCCATAGCTGAAGTGAGAAGAAGTATATTCATGTCATTCCCAAGGGCAGTCCGTAAAGCAAAGCGACAATATTAGATGGAATATAAACCTGGCTTGCCAATAAGATTTTTCGCGCCGATTACCGTAACACTACCGACACATAACTTTTCCCAACATGAACGAAACACAAATAAATGAAGCACGCGTAAAGGCTTTGGGTAATGTTAAGAATTTAAAAAGTCTTTTCTTACTTCAGCTTGTGAAGATATTTGACATCGTTAAATTAAAGAAGCTCTCAACCGAACAAAAGAATGAGATATTTAAGAAGCATAATGCAAATATAAGCTAAGGGTTCTTGGATGTCGCACTTGTCTCTCTGTCTCTGTCTGTCTGTCTCTCTCTCTCTATATATATATATATATATATATGAAAGCGAAATCTTGTGTAGTTACATCAAATTTAAAACGGAATGCTGTACTATTTGGCATTCGCGTCGGAAGCTCAAATCGAACATTTCAGAATCATCATCATGTAATCATACCCGCTTCAGGTCAACCGTTATATTCTCTCCATATCTTCATAATATACTCTTCTTACCACCTGATCTTACTTTCATACAAAATCATTCAGCAACTCTCTACCTTGAGTAGCTCTTTGGCCATATACTGAGTGATTAATGTGTAAAAAGAAAACTTTCATCCTACATCAGGGTACTGGCTACTGTCCGAGCCACACCCCCAACGACAATCATCAAGACACTTGGATTGCCCAGGAATTTATTCTCGTCCTAACCAGTCAGTTTTGCAATCAAGACATCTCGCCTCAGGGTTTCTGGGCTCCAATAAAATCACTGGTGCTTGTAGAAGTGATTATGGCGAATTTCCTGTACGTCTGGAAGCACATCTGCTTTCACCTTCGAATAGGCACTGTGCCAGGGAAGTAGACGTCGGCGCATGTGCGTCCGTGCGTTACGCACACTCTCAGGGAATTTCGAGATTCGACCACGAATTGTTTTACGCACATACTTTGTATCTTGCGTCTGTGTGTTTGGGGGAGAATCAATTAATATACATACATACATACATACATACATACATACATACATACATAAAGAAGTTAATGGTCAGAGTTGAATTAGACCAGGAAACAGTAGTATTTAAAAAGTGCTCAATACACATATATCATAAAACAACAAAGCACATACCTCCTCCTCTTCCTCACCTTCCACCGCACCTCACGTCGTGCGCTTATTCATTTATTTACTTTTTTTTAAAAAAATATGGCGTTCATAATCTTTTATTTTTTTGAAAAAATAAAGCGTTAGGAAATCAATTGACAGAAATCGTTTGAAGAAACCGAAATTTTGAAACGCAGACAGTGGAATGGGTTGATCTTCGTAATTTTCTATACTTTCTCTATCTATCTATCTATCTATATATATATATATATATATATATATATATATATATATATATATATATATATATATATATATATATATGAAACTGACTCCATTATTATAATGGACTCGGTCTTTTTAGGAACGAAGCGCTGTACATAATTTAAATATTTTTCTCCAATGTCGTCTTTCAATTGGTCCTTCTCTTTGTCCGCACCTATCTCTTACGCATACTCCTTGTTTAATTTGGTAAATGCGGCCATAATCCTTGCCTTCAATTCATCTTTGTTATTACAAGTTTTGTTGGTCTCTCGTTCAACTGCGCTCTACATACAAAGGGATTGCATTCTGGGGTGATGTGGGCTAAGAAAATGTCTAACAGCCATGACTAGGTTATCCTGCCTGTGTGGCATGTCGCAGACTCCTGTTGACAGATATAGGATCTTCCAGTAGCCACCCACTTGACCTAGAGTCTCCCCAAAGCAATTGATGCAGGCCTCCGGGTTGAGTCTGAGGCTCTGTGGGAAGATGGAGGCGTAACGTCGCCATCACTAGTGATCACCAATGGACTCATTCAACTCTTTCCGAATCACCTGCAATGTCCTCAAATTCACACACAAAGAGAGTAATTGTGGCGAATCTTGCACACAATACGCGTGTCACAACCTTCTGGCAAGCTTCCTCAGGTCGGAACGCGAGCCAAGCTCTGTGTGTTTGGAAAGTGCGTTGGAATTTGTGAAAAATGGGCAATAAATAACTTCATATTTTCGTACTGAAGCCACTAATGTTTCTTGGATTTGAAAGTAACTCTCTTCGAAATGATTTTTGTTCTTTTATCTATTGTTTCGTATCAATGTGTTACATGGGGGGGGGCGTTGTAGTGTATAATAATGTCATTTATTACACATTCCTAAAAATTTCTAACGCACATTCCTTTTACATGCAGTATTTTGCTCTCATTCCGATCTGTGGACGCCTGTCAGAAGAAGGCGTAATACGTGTTCTGTTGGATTGGCCAAGCGATTTGAGTACAGCTACAACCCTGAAGACATGGTCAGTCAGGGAGAGGTTCCTTGACAGGGGTGAGAAAGCCTTGGATCTAGATTTGTTCTAATGAGGAGGACAGACTGGATTCTATAGCCTTGGGTAGCAGCTGGTCTAGGAAAAGGGGAACACTGAATTCTGTACAAGCTTTTCCACTTTGTCATGCGTGTGTATGTATGTGTGTGTGTGTGGAAACATTCAGATATAAATAAGATATATCTGTAAAAAGGCCAATATGAATAAATACAAAATGAAACCGTTTCTTTACCAACGCGTTTCATCCTCTTATGGACTTTATTAAGGTAAATGTGAGGATTTTGCAACCTGTATTTTTAAACAATATTAAAAAGAAATTCTTGAATATTAGTCGCTGACATTTTGCCATATTTTGAATTGTGACACTTTGTGTCTTCCATATGTTTTGACTGACCTTTCAACCACCTGATGAACATTTATAAACGTTCTCAAATTTAAAATCCTTGATTGACCAATCACATTCTCGCTTTTGAATATAAACACGTGCAACAATATAAACCATATATTACCTTGATAAAGTCCTCAGAGGACGAAACTCGTCGGTCAAGTATAGTTTTTCCTCTTGTTTCTTTTTATACATTTTGTTCCTTCACATATAAACTGTATTGGGAAATAATTGATATATATATATATATATATATATATATATATATATATATATATATATATATATATATAAGTACATTGAAGTCAACACTTAGAGGCGACAGTCTGTTTTTCATACTTCTAGACGCAATCGTCAGGCTTGACGATTGCGTCTAGCATGAAAAAACTATCGCCTCTAAGTATTGACTTCAATGTTCACTTACACACACACACACACACACACACACACACACACACACACACACACACACACACACACACATATATATATATATATATATATATATATATATATATAAAATCAAAAATCGCCCGAAACTATCATGGAAAATAAGGCAAAGGACACCGGCCTACAGCAATCAATACCAACACTTTCAAATCTGTCTGCAGTAATAAATAGCCATAATTATATTCCCAGACCAAAACAAACTCTACTAAAAAACGATCGGAACTCATGTCAAAATACAGACACGAAAAGAAATTTTTACTACGCTACTTAAAATGGAAAACTAAAAACAAACAAGAATAAAATAAATAAATAAGCAAAAACAAGTTAACCGTAAAAATAATACAATAGACTACCCACAATACATTAGACTTGACACACTTCATCACAGCCCTGCATATATAAAAAGTCGAGCAGAAAACAAACCCATGGCCTGATGATTGCGTTTAATATGAAACAGACTGTCGACTCTGGCTATTGACATCAATGTCCACATTTACACAGAAATACAGGCACACACATACACACATATATATACGTTTGTGCGTGTGTATAGCGGGGATAGGTATGTATGTACGTAGATAGGTAGGCAGGTTTATCAGTAAAATGTAAATAGCAGGAAGAGAGACAGATTGAAAGAGAAGAAAATATTGATGCAGACTTGAAAAGAAAGCTCACTTCTTACAAGAGACAGAAAGAGAGAGAGAGAGAGAGAGAGAGAGAGAGAGAGAGAAAGAGAGGAATAGGCGGATTAGGGAAGAGATACAAACTATGAGATGATAGTCCGTGACATTTGGGTCAGACGTGACGTCGATTTGAAATGAATGGATTATGAAGACATTGATTTCGAAGCAGAGAAGCTGATGGCCGCTTTGCAAAGAGCTTAACGATCGATAGAAAGTTTTACAATAATATTCTTCTTTCGTACTAGGGGCTTTTATTTCACTTCATATTGTAATGTAAACTTTGTCGGCATCTCTTGCTATTGCTAGAGAAATATTACCTTCTTGTTCATAACTAAACATATGTTTTATTAATCATTTCGCCCAAAGCAAGGCGATAAAGCCACTAAAACGCCAGGCGTTTCTGTGAGTGAAAGAGAATGAGAAGAATTTAGTGACGGGAAAATATAATCAAAGAACAGAATTCAGGAAGACGGAAGATGGCATTTAACGTTGCATTTTTATATATATATATATATATATATATATATATATATATATATATATATATATTAAAATAATGCAGCTTAATTAATATTGTAAAATAGACATTCAAAGAATAAATCAATAAATTTAATGTAATTAATGCCGAACTCAATTCGCCAACAGATTAAGAAGGCATTAGCTCACAGACAACTAGTTGAACGACACGAGCCTTGTTTTAATTAATTGTACAATGGATTAGATGTTCTGTTCATATTGCTTGCAGGTACTTTCGGTAAAAAAAAATTACCATCCTCAGACACAGATCTTAAAATTCAGGTAATTTCGGGTAAAAGTCCAAGACGAAAATGATATACATATATATATATATATATATATATATATATATAAGAAACCTAAAGAGCCAGGCAAACCTACCTCGGTTTCACCTAAACGAATCGTCAGGGCAATGATGGCGAAAAAGGTAAAAAACGGAACAGAATATTTAGCTTAAACCAAAAACAACCATGACTACGTGACAAAAAAAAAAAATAGTAAAAACTCAACAACGGGTGGGGGGGTTAGGTTTTACGTTCTTTATTCAACAATGAAAAGAAAAAAGCAAAAAAGAGGAAAAAATAACAAAAATGCAAAACCTACTCTAATAACCAGCGTTTCCTATGTCTACACCTAGTAAGAATTTCTGATTTAATAAATTATTAGGTTCTTTTATAGCTAACAATTGCTAACTTTTCCTCCGTGCATAGGGAACAAAATTTATCACCTCCTTTATACCTGTGACATTTTTGAAAGATTTCCCATTTCAAGATGGGGGTCTTTATTATCTTCTTGTTTGACCTTCCATACATTAAAGGACAAAGTAGTACTGTGTTTGTAAGTTTCGTTATTGAAACTACTAAGGTGGTCATAGTATCGTGTTTTGAAATTATTCTGGGTAAATCATATATAAACCTTAGCGGTTTTATCGGTATTGTTCGGTTTATCCTTGTATATTTTTACTTGGTAAACCACGCACTCCTGTTGGCATTTGCCCTGTAGGGGGCAGGATTCCTTATTCCTACAATTACACTTATATATATATATATATATATATATATATATATATATATATATATATAAATATAAAGAGAGAGAGAGAGAGAGAGAGAGAGAGAGAGAGAGAGAGCTGTGAAAGAAAATTAATTCTCCCCTTTATTTCACCTATCTTGGGCATTATTATATCCGTGATATATTAACATGGATGGAACGGAATTGCTGAAAGGAAAAAAAAGGACAAACATGCGCTTTGTTGGGAAGACATAGTAGGACTAACACAAAATGATTTTAACCTATTTTCTTTCTAGCTGAATAACTCAAAGGGTTTTTCAATGATTCTTACGACAAATGGTGTCAAGATGGCTAAACGTCTTATCTGAAAACCTGGAAAAAGAAACTAAATTTGTCAAGTGTTTTTAGATACACTATTTACATTATTCGGACTATTGACCTCATCTTTGTCGCCATATTTATTACAACGTTTCGGCCATCTTCAGGTGGTTGGAATGTCGAACTGAACCCTTTATTTCGTTCACTGGGGTAGACTGTTCCACGTGCCATGTTTTAATGGATGTCAGTTATCAGTTATCTCCTGTTAATCCCCCTCTCCAAGTTCTCCACTACCTTAACCGGGTATTGAACTCACACTCTTTGGGTCCTGTCACTGGATCTAAACAACGCCTTCATCCACTATGCCATGTGTCCTTGGGGACATTCCAACCACCTGAAGAAGGCCGGAGAGTACAACGGCCGAAACGTTGTAATAAATATGGCGACAAAGATGAGGACACTAGTCCGAATAATGTAAATAGTGTATATAATACCTCATCTCAGAAATATAGACAGATACTGCTTTTTAGATATTAAACATTTTGTGAGGGAGACAATTATTCCATGCTGTTGCATGATTTTTGCTGTTACATATATTATTTTATATATATTGTTTTATTGTTATATATATATATATATATATATATATATATATATATATATATATATATACAAGTATAGGATTGATGTAGACAGAAAAAGTTCTATTAACCAAAAACAGTATTCTTAAAAGTGTGCTCAATACAGAGTAGAGCAAATATTTTTTATTAAAAATTATAATATTTATTAAAAAATTATAACATAACATTACTACAATAATAGCCATTTTGTTTCAACACTTCTGGTGTCTTCTCAAGTGATGCTGTTGAATGTAGAATGTTGAAACAAAATGGCTATTATTGTAGTGATGTTATAACATCTTTATGTTAGAATTTTTAAATAAATAATATATATATATGTGTTTGTGAGTGTGCATATAAAGTGTGCGATGGATAAATTGTCGTATAAATTACACAAAAAAAAGAAAATAACGCTGACGTCTCATTTTAACAGGTATATTTACCAAATTACACAAAAATATCTTGAAATACTAAGGAAATCTGGCTTCTGGATTCAACCACAGCCTCCAGATGACGACTTCAGAATTTCCTGCAACCCTTCTGAGAGGTTTCCCGTTTAAGCTGGTGAATGCTGCCATAATCCTTGCCTTCAGTTCATCTTTGGTGTTACAAGGAGTTTTGATAGTCTCTCGTTCAATGCGCCCCACACATAATAATCAAGGAGGTTGCAGTCTGGGGAGTTGGGTGGCCAGATATAAGAGTTGATGCGGTCTCAAAGTTATGAGTAGATAATCCTGCGTGTGTGTTATGTCGCAGAGTCCTGTTGCCAGACATACAGTTTTCCAGCAGCCACCCTCTTGACCCAGGGTTGAACCTCCTCAAAGCAATTGATGTAGGCCTCTATATTGAGTATAAGGCTCTGTGGAAAGATGAATAGAGGCATAACATCGCCACCATTAATAATAACTCAAACACCTTCGTAATCACCATTAGATTCATGCAACTCTTTCTGAATTCAAACTTCTTAATTTATTGTGCAGTCGACAAAATTAAAAACAACGCGCATGCGTGAAATTAAAAATGTAAAATGGCGACAATTTACCTATCGCACCATATATATATATATATATATATATATTTTTTTTTTTTTTTCTCAGTCGGAAACGAAGGATGTGGCTTCAGGGAATTGTTTAAAGTGCTCAATGTCCTGTGATGTATATTTATTTACTCCATCATAACACATGACTTGTGTGCTATATGCCAGATGATGTTATAATGACCGGTACTTTCAATAGTAGTGTTTCTATCCCCTACCTGCATCCTGACCGGCCCTTTGTCGACCCTCTGCAGGCGAGCATGCTTGTGATATTTCTTAAGCAGTGGCTTTCTCTAGACATTCTGCCATGAAGACCCTCATTGTTCAGATTGCTTCGTACTGTAGATGCATGTACATTGATTCCGACATTGGATGCAAAGATCACAGCAGGATTTGCCTGGGCTTTTGCTGAATTCGATGTCTACTTGCTCTTGCTGTTATTTTTCGCGGTCGGCCACCTTTCAATTGTAAATAATTTGTTAAATGGAGGAGAAATGAACTCCAAATCGTTTTGATACGGTTTTACCACCTCCCCCATCATAATAGGTTTTACCACCTCCCCCATCATTATAGGTTTTAACTATGCAACTTTTTAAAGCTCTAGGAAGTTATTTTGATCTTTGCATTTATAATTTTAAAAACTTAGTCTCTAATTTGCACACTTTTGCCTATACAATGAGTTATATTGTTTGACTGCAGTATACATAGCTTACCAAAAAATGAACACGTGTGATTTTGATTTTTACATGTGCACAAAAATTACTTACACTGGCGACCATGTAAAACAAAAATACAGAATATAAATGTAAGTTCACTTACATTTGCACATCTTAATTTGTAATTAATTAGTTTTTATTCTAGTTTGATAAAAATCTTTGAAAGTGGTTGGAAGTCATTTAATAAAGATTTTTAATGAATTGATAGTTCAAGATTTGTTGATTATCTGTAAAAAGAGACAATTGTTTTAAATATTATCTTCGGGGTTCACTTATACAGCATTGTATCTCTCTCTCTCCCCCTCTCTCTCTCTCTCTATATATATATATATATATATATATATATATATATAGAGAGAGAGAGAGAGAGAGAGAACGATTCAGTGAGTGAGTGAGGAAGTGAGTGAATGGGATTAAATGAGAGTGACAAATGAGCTGATCTCTCATATCGAGAACAAATTTATGCTTTTGATCTTAATATTTGGCACACTTTAGATATTGTATAAGATACTGAAAATTATTGAATATACATTTTTATGTTTTTTTCACTTAGATATGGGTATTTGTGTATTAAAAATAAACATTGTTTTTCTATATATTACAATTAGTTCTTAATTACCTGAAGCACTAATTATGCATACATACATAATAATAAATAATAGCTAGCCTCTCGTATTCGAGGATACCCGTCTACAAGGGTGGCTAGACAATCCTTATTGCAGACGCTCGCTCAGTCACATTTGTGTTTGTTCAACACCCACGGAGCCAACCTGTGGTTTCTACTGCAACTATGCTGAGCAGACCCTAGCTACAGTTTTTAGGAGGGAGCGTGTTACCTAGAATGATCTAAAGAGCCCCAGCACTTGTATGCGCCACAGAAAGGTTGTTGTTCAGCTGACGATGATTTGTGACTTCGTGCTAACACAGCTATCGACGGCCCTCAAGAGTTCCGTCTACCCAATTTCACTCACAAGGCTTCGGTCAACCCGTGGTATGGTTTTCAGGCACTTTCCAAAGATACCGCACGCTCGAGACCGATAATATCGGCCACATACATATATATGCACACACACACACACACACACACACACACACACACATACATATATATATATATATGTTTGTTTGTATGTGTGTGTATGTATGTATGTGTATTTGTGTATGTTTGAGATGAAATATACTTTTAAGGTAAGCTATATTTATAGGATTAAAGTGCTCAATATCAGGGATATAGCGCATGTGAATATAAAAGGGGACATTGAAGTCAATATATATATATATATATATATATATATATATATATATATATATATATATATATTTAAAAGATTACTGAACTTTTAAATATCAATTTTATCCCTGACATCTTTGTTTCTTTGTAAAATTTCCAGTCTTCTGGGGTTATAGTTTTAAACGGTATTTCCAAGTTTTTCAGTTATACTGATATATATATATATATATATATATATATATATATATATATATATATATATATATATATATATATATATATATATATACACTGACTCTCCTGTCATTTTCGACATATGACGGTCAAAAAAGCCAGACTACCTGCATATCTCATTTAAGCATTTACTAAGTCGGTGGCCTCTTTTGGTTTTAGGCAACCCTTCTGTGCTGCATGCAGTTGCTGTCGGTTACAACGACAAAGCAAAGAAAGACAGAGGAATACATATCAAGAATCAATTTGCTTGCAAATTACGGCGAAAGAAAAAAGCATACAAAATTCAATACATTATTATTCTTTACGGAAAGATGGGATCAAACAAAGAATTCCTTTTTGAGAATTCCACATTTTATTTCTGAAATAAATGCATTTTTTTAAAAATATTTCAATAAAAAAGATAACGGGAAAAAAGTTGGGAAGAGTTCAGCTCGTTCATGTAAATGATTCGCCATGATTTTGTTACTTATTTACATTTACTTCCAGTGACTAGTAGGGTAATAAATTTTGGATCCAGCTCTAACATAAATTCGGGGGAAATTGTCAATATTTGTGGGCATTTTAAGTAATAATTATTACAGGATCTGCTTCTGTCTTCATGTAAAAAAAGATTTTTTCAACTTCTTTAAAAGGTAGTCATTTATGCGCATGCGTGGGAAGACGAATGTGTGGAAGGAGGGTTTTTTTTTTTAAATATTTCACAGCTCCGAAAACGTAGAAAGGGAATTGGGGTTAGTTAATGTGAAATGTCTACATTTAACCGAGACATCGGGGCAATGGTATTAGTTCGATTTCTAATAAATATACAAAAGGCAAAAACAAAGATTATTTTCACAAAATCGTTTTAAGTGAAAGAAAAGGAAATACAACTTTTTTGAACAACAATCCGAACAATATAAATAGTATAAAAAGTTTTCCACTGGATTAACTCTTTGGACCATAACCCATTACGAGTACAGATCTCATAATCTGGGACCATGCTGTCCATCTTTGCTGTCCATGAGTTTGAGCAATATACCAGCTGCCCGGGTGTATGGCCTTTTACACAGCGGCTGGTATACTAGCCGCTCGGGTTCAAACGTTTTAAAAAGATATTTCGAACATATTTTTGCTGCTGAAAACAGAATGTATGGCCATTAGCAAATTGGACAGCATAAAGTGTGAGTTACACATTGGAGATATAATCAACCCCATTCAGATTACTGTAACTATCTAGGAAGGATTTGATCTTCAAAAGTTTAAATACAATGTCAATCGTTATCTTTTGTTTTCTTAATTCCTGTTCTTTTATTGCTCATTAATACTGTTTTCTTTTCTCATATTCTTAGCAACTCAGTAACCCCATTGTTTCTTAGTGGATGTATTGCTTGGGATCAAATAATTAAAAAATACATAGTCTTTTGACGAAAAAAACGCGTAGAATCTTGCTTGAAAACTACAATCTTGAAGTCTTCAAATAATAGTTCATTTGTTTTCTATCTCGCTTCTACCATCTCCCATTTAACACATCAACCTTCTAAATTGAGCGCCTCTTGAGCATTACATTTCATGAAACTTAGTAATAAAAAAACAAATAAATAAATAAAATGTTTCCTCTCATTTTAATCGGTACAAATATGTTGAACGATTTTCGTTTTAGAAATGTCGCAAAACGAAGTGATAAGAAGCTATCTGTCTGTCTATCTGTCTGTCTGTCTGTCTGCCTCATTTCAATATATTAGAATATTGATGTTTCCCTTATGCGTTCTCTGCAAGAAATAGAAAGATTGGTGCAGTCGGATTGGCTATGGTGTCTGCTTGGTGATGGCTTTATGATATCGTCTGTATGCGCATCGAACCTCGAACGGCGGGCGTCTCGTGTTTTCTCACGAGACGCTATCCGCGCCTTTCCTTGCTCAATCCCCAACCTCATCTCTTTCATTGACTTCCTTACATGCAACAAACCGCAAGGAAGAACATACAGTTGGCATCGTTCGACTGGGTTCCTGCCGGTTAAGATTAAAATATACGCCAGCTAATGTCTTCCCTCTGGAGTTGCGGTCTCAACACACACACACACACACACACACACACACACACTTTTTCACATTCTGTCTTTATTTCATTGTTGTACTTTTTCTTCCAATTTTTATTGTTTTTTTATGTTTGTTCTTTCTTTTTCTTTCAGTTCTTTCTTTTCAAACTCCTTATTTATGTCGTTTTTTGATTTTAGTAACTTTTTCAGCTTTTCTCTTTTTCATGACCTCTTTCTTTCTTATTTGAAATATTTTCTTTTTTCTCAGCCAGTTTTAGTATTTTTTCACCGTCTCTCATTTTCTTGTCCTTTTTCTTTCTTTCTTTCTTTCTTTCTTTCTTTCTTTCTTTCTTTCTTTCTTTCTTTCTTTAGTATTTTATTTTGCCTTTTTCTTTTTTTTAATTCTTTCCTTCCTTCCTTTTTTCTTTCGTTTTTTCAGCCTTCTTTCTTCTTTTTTGTATTTTTCTTTCTTTTTTCTTCCTGCCTACTTTGTTTGTTTATGTTTGTTTGTTTGTTTCTTTCTTTCTTTAATTTCAGTCTTCTTCATTATTTCTTGAAATTATTTTACTATTGATCGTTTCATCCATTCTTTCTTCTTTACTCTTGTGTTTTGAATTTTTCTTTATGATTTCTTTCTTTCTTTTTTCTTTCTTTCTTTTCAACATGCTTTGAATTTTTTTTTTGGGTTTTTTATTTTTCTTTCTTTTTTTCATTTCAGCATTCCTTATTCTTTCTTGAAATTACTTTGCTATTGATTGATTGATTCGCCCATTCTTTCTCCCTTTCTTTTCTTTTATTTTGCCCTTTTCTTTCTTTTTCCTTCCTTCCTTCCTTCCTTCCTTCCTTCCTTCCTTCCTTCCTTCCTTCCTTCCTTATTCTTTTCCTTTTCTTTTCTATCCTTTACGCTTTCCTCACGATTCTGTTTTCTGAGGTTTTCTTTCTTTCTTTCTTTCTTTCTTTCTTTCTTTCTTTCTTTCTTATTTTATTTTGATTTTTTCTTCCTTTCCTTTTTCTTTTCTTTTTCTTCCTTTTCAATCTTTTATTTTGTGTTCTTTCTTTTTCTTATTTATTCATATAATTCTTTCTATCGTTTGAGTCATTTTTATTTTTCTATTTTGCTTTTTTCTTTCTTTTTGCGTTCTTTCCGTCTTTTTCTTTCTTTTTCAACGTTCCTTCTTCTTCCTGAAAATTACTTTCCTTTTCATTCACTCATTCACTCATTATTTTCTTCTTTCTTTTCGGCCTTCTTCATTCATTTATTTTACATTTTTCTTTTTTCTTTCATTCTTTCTTTTTCTTTAAACATCTACCCCCGCTTACTCACGGGCACAATGCATGTCCCCCTTTCCTCTTTATTACTCTATTTTAGAGTCTCTCTGTCACATCTCTCTTTCTCTCTCTCTCTCTATAAATATTCATCTTTTTCATTGTCTCCCAACCTCTCTCGCTCTTTCCCTAAATCTTTCTTTTTCACAGCCCTCTCTTTCTTATTCACTTTGTTATCATTTATTTCCTCGCCACTATTTTACTCACTTTTTTACTTTGCCCCTCTCTCTTTCTCTTCTATACCCTTCTCTCTTTCTCTTCTATACCCCTCTCTCTTTCTCTTCTATACCCTCTCTCTTTCTCTTCTATACCCTTCTCTCTTTCTCTTCTATACCCCTCTCTCTTTCTCTTCTATACCCTTCTCTCTTTCTCTTCTATACCCCTCTCTCTTTCTCTTCTATACCCTTCTCTCTTTCTCTTCTCTACACCTCTCTCTTTCTCTTCTATACCTCTTCACTTTTTTTTGTCTCAGTTCTACTTACACCCTATTCTCTCGATCTTTTCAATTTTATCGAACCACGGAAGAAATGTTTGAAGAGATCTGCTGCATTTGATATCTTCTTGTCTTCAGCTTTATGAGTTTATTGCTCAATCCAGGGTAGAGGTTGTCCGAACTGAGTGGGAGGGGAATATATGATTCAAATGTCTTATTTCAAACTCAGAAAAATTGTGTGTGTCCGTGTGAGTGTGTATGTGTATGTGTATGTGTGTGCACACGGCCTACTAATATATATGAGCCCACATTTCAGGCTAATTTCTAACTGGCCTAAATTAATTTATAGTCCATTTATGTCTGTTTTATCTAAAACATGTTAAAACCGTCCAAAAATGCACAATCACGTTGTTTTTATAAACAGAAAAGTAATAATAAAAGACTGTGTCTGTGTGAATGTGTATATGCGTGTACATATACACATACACACTAACACAAAACAAATACAAAACAAATGCAAGTAAAAAACTTACCAACAGTTTCTTTATAAATCAATTTTCTTTTGACCTTTGCCTTTTTTAAAAACATTCTACAATATTTTTTCGAACTTAATCTGATGAAAACTTTCGTTTGTTATAAAATATATTCACAACAATTCTTGCTGCAATGTGAATTTCTTTTCCAGTGTGTTGTTTACAAGTAAAACAATATTTTGGAGAATAAGTTTCCAAAATTCATTCAGCAGACCCTATTTTAGTGGATTTATTATGTTGTATAATAAATTTAGTCAAATCTAGCAAAAGAACTCTGCTATTTGGCTAAACGGAAACGTAAGACCTCCTCGAGAAAGTCAAAGTACTGCTTCCCTATAGCATCACCACTATCATTGTCTACCATGACCAGGGAACACATTTCACATTGAAAATATTTAATTAATTTTTCAATTTTTCTAATAAAGAAAAAGATGATAATGAAAATTTCTTCAGAAGTAATTTGTAGGCTTGTTGAGACGTATAGTGCAGTGGTAAGGCATAACGTATTAGTTCTGAAGAAAATGAAGGACGACCTCTTGGTTGGTAATGTTATCTTTTATCATTTGTTTTTTTGAATTGAATATGATTGTTCTTTCACCACATTTTTTATATAGTTTGGAAACTCTCCTTGCGAGTTTAATATTAATGTTCATCTATAAACTACTGTGATAAAGCTGCACGGTTTCATCGCACTCGAGCTGGACGTGGTTTTTGTCAATGCGAATACATTCTTTTATTTCAGGATCAGAGACTATTCTATAAATTAGAATATAATCTTCCATTTTAAATTCAAAACCGTTAAGACAACACTTTGTTTCTTCCAATTGAGTAAAATCCTTTATCGCCTCAGCTGAAATAAAATTATCTAATTCAGAAGTTTGAACCAGTGGTCGTTTTAGAGGCTTTCAGAATTCCCTTCTATTCGGCAAAAGAAACTGTTTTCTTATTTGTTCTGAATGTCTTGTAGGAATTGGATGCAAATCACAGTTAAGCTTATTTCGTTTTCTTCTTAAAATAAATTTTTATTCAAAGTGTTTCATACAGAGGACTGAATTTTTCGTAGGAAAGCTATTAATACGATCAACGCATTTTATCCATTTTTCTACGAGGTCGGATTTTCCAAGAGGAAAAGAAAATGTTGATACTTTTTCACTGTTAGTAATATATCCACAAGAAAAGCCAGATGCAACACATCTGTTAAACATTTTTGTTAAACAAAATATCGCAACTCACTTTATAAATTTAATCTTCAAATGCAATAGACTATGAGGCAGAAAATTTACCTAATAGTGTCCATTTGCAAAACAGGCCGTATACGCAATTGAAAATCATAAAAGCGCGGTAATTCGCAGCAGTTTATAATTCGTGGATTGATAAAAAAAAAAAAAAGGTGTAAATATGTATTCTAGTGTTGAAAACATGTCTTGGGAATTGAAATACGGTCTCATAAATTCTATGTAATTGTACTCGGTTAATTTATGTCCTAAAAATTCAATTTTTAAAGTTACCTCCCTTTTAGATCAGCAATTTTCTAAGCGGCCAATCGCGTTTTTTTTTTTTACATTACATCGAGCTGTTGGAATTCAGCTTGTTATGCGACATGTTCCTAATTACCAAGCCACCTAGGGGGGTGATGATTAAAAAGGAGAGTGTAGGAGCATCCCCTAACTTTTTCCACTGATGCCCCGACTACATGAATTTAAACGTACTACTCGATTGGCATCTAGGTCCCACCCTCATGCTGTTGAACTAGCTACATGCAATCACCACTTCTACTCCAACAGTTTATTTTCTCGCACTTCTTGCCAGTGGAACTCCTTTCTGCTTACTTGCTTCCCTGATAACTAGCACCCAAAGCTAGGAGGAAATGCCACTAGTACGCAGGAGGGGGATTACAAGGAGTGAAAGTGAAAGAGATGACTGAGAATAGGGCGGAGTGAGGAAAATAAAAAAAGATGAACGCGATTCAATGAGACAGAAGATGGCGTCTGATGCTGAAATTAAATTTTTGAAAATTGTATTTATCAGGGAAGAAAGAAAACGGAAAGGAGTTCTACATATGAGAAGTGCGAGAAAAGAAACTGTTGCAGGAGAAGTGGTAGTTTCATTTAGCTATTTCAACAGTAGAAGGGTGGGACCAAATTGCCAATCTAGTAAGTAGCACGCTTAAATTCATGCAGTTTGGGAAGTAGTCTACCAGGGGAAAAAAGCACGTCAGAAGAGTTGCCAAGAAAATATTTGTAGAAAAGACAGAGGGAAGCCACGTCACGCCGGTGAGAAAGTGATTGAAGTCGAGATGCCTGGTGAGGATTGATTATATTATAGATACTTATTTGGATTTTAAGAATCTTGAGGTGTGCCACAGGAATACCAGATCAGATATGGCAGCAATATTCAATGCACCGATGAATGGTAGATTTATAAAAGTACAAGATGGATTCTGATATAAAAACAAACTTTTGGTATGGCACAGTGAACCAAATTTTCCTATAGTAGACATAGCAATTGACTCTATATAGTAGCTTCATTTCATGTCAGTGAAAAACATGTGTCCATGAAGGCGCAATGTGTTGTTCTCCATGAGTCTAGAATCGGTCATGCTGATTGGCTGACAG